AATTCGAAGATTTCGAAATTCTTTGTAAAAAAAAATTCGAAAACTTCGAACGCTTCGAATTTATATAGATATGAAGTTCGAACAATTCGAAGATTTCGAATTTCTTTTTGCATAAAGTTCGAAAAGTTCGAAGTTTCGATTCTCTTTTAACGCTAAATTAAAAAAAAAAAAAAAAAAAAAAAAAAAAAAAAAAACTGAAGATTTAGAATTTCTTTTTAATCCAAGTTTTCAAAGTTCGAAGTCCGATTTTCAAGTTTTTCCACAGTTTCAGTTTCAAATAACGTTTTCACGACTCACTGGTTTTCACAAAATCAAGTTTAGAAAAGTTAGGGTGTGATATGTAGATTCTGCGAAGTTGGTCAGGCAATTAAATGAGACGACGAGTGTCCCGGACATGCTAGAATATTTGCCAGTGCAGAATTGTGACCGCCAGCCCCCGGGGGGGGGGGCCTTTAATTTGCATCACGCAGTAGTGATTGCACGAACACACTGTTTTACGAGACTCTTCCAGTTCGAAACGGCCAGGGGCGAGCAGGAGGTTGAGGCTCAGAAAAACCGTGAAGCGACCTGGCAAACTACCTCGCCACCCCTTGCACGCTGGTAGTAATCCGATCCGGTGAAGTTTATAATTGTCCTGGAGGTTTATTTTCTGGGACGGAGGAATCGCCGCGCAAAAAGCACAAAAGCCGACACAACTCGAGGTCGAGGAGCGTTCTACCATACAAGTGGCGTCGGAAGAGGAAAAACGGGGGGAAAGAGGGTAGCGGGGGGGGGGGGCTTCAGCCTCCTTCTTCCCCTTTCAGGTATTTCGGAGTGTTAAAGAAAACAATACGGGGAAAGAGGGCGTGGTCGAGCTTATTTTAATCTGAAATTATTTATGCATATGTATAGCTAATGTCGCTCTTCACTGCGTAAAAGGTTGCGTAGATGGTCATTGTTAGAAACTCGTTGTCAGAAGGCACTGCTCGTCACATGCTTAGTGGTTCGGAAGTTCAAAGCCGTCTTTTCGGCCTAAACACCTGTGCCGCTAGTAACAAAAGAGAAGAAAGAATAAATGCGGGAATAAAAAGCAGGAGAAAAAAAAAAAAAAACTATCAAGAATTCGTTGGAAGTGTTCTATTCTTGCATATTCAGAGGTTCAGAACTTCGAAACAAGTTTCTTTTACCAAAATGTGTACAGGCTAAAAGAAACACGTCCCAGGAACGTGAAGCGAAAAAAAAAAAAAGTTTTCTTTCAATGACGTGCTGAACTTGAACACTACTAGAAATCTTCTCCCATGAGTTAATTTATTCCTTAACGTGAAAAAACAATAAATATATTATTTTGTATTCTGCAGATGGCAGTGATATGTACTGTCTGTGGTGTTAATTTAAATGCGATACCTCAAACAACTTAGACGAAAATAAATATCAAGTTTAGGTCATAATTGCATGCAGATACATGTTTGGACATTTCTTCGAAACTCACGTTGAATAACAATAATCACATCTTAAGACGGCACTTACCTAGGCTATACATAGATCATTCTTAAAAAAGTATAACTTATCTACCATGAATAGCTCCGGCTGCAGCGTGCTTCAAATCTGGCACAAATGATAATCGTCAAAAACCCGTCGTCCTTCCTCGCCCCTTCGGGGATTTATTTCTTTAAACCTAAGCATGCCAGAACATTGAAATAAACGACATTGTCTTTCAATGATATTGTAGTGAGTGCGCAGGCGAGCTGGTGGAAATTAAACATTCTGATGTTAGCCTGAGACTGAGGCAGGAAAAGAGGAAGTTCCAAAGTAGAAGAAAAAGGAACAGTCGAGGATACGTCTCTAACACAGCTAAAGACAAGTTTATTCGGTCACCCTCTTATATACACTCCACAATCTTCACCACAGAACCTTCGCGGCTTTGGAGGTCGCGAAGGTTCTGTGGTGAAGATTGTGGAGTGTATATAAGAGGGTGACCGAATAAACTTGTCTTTAGCTGTGTTAGAGACGTATCCTCGACTGTTCCTTTTTCTTCTACTTTGGAACTTCCTCTTTTCCTGCCTCAGTCTCAGGCTAACATCAGAATGATTGTCTTTCGTAAGGAACGCAGCAACGCGTGTAGAAGTTCGAGAAAAAAAAATTACGAATGTACCCCACTACTTGAAACCAAATGAAACCGTCCGCCGGTCTTTCGAAGTTCGACGAACGTCGAACTTTTACCCTAAAAGTTCGAAGTTCGTCGAACTTCTGACTTTTCAGAAATCGAAAGTTCGAAACTTTTCGAATTCTCTTGATAAATAAGTTCGAAATTCATCGAATTTTTTGGTCAGTCAAGTTCGAAAGTTCGACAAGCATCGAACCTTGCAGCGCAATAAATTTGAAAGTTCGAAAAAGATCGAATTTTTTAGCGTAATAAGTTCGACGGTTTGAAAAGCGTCGAACTTCTTAGCTTAACAAGGTCTAAAATTCGACCTCCGTCGAATTTTACGATATAGACAATTCGAAAAAATCGAAATCTTTCGACCGCTTGATTCGATCATCGAAACTTCGATTCGAAAAAAGTTCGCGGCATCCCTAGTTGTTGGTTCCTTTGTGTTGTTTGCTTGCCTTTAGAGTGCGCGTTGGTTCTTTCGGGTCTTCCCTGTGTCCCTACAAACTATACTTCGTTTCAGCTTCGGTCCGAGCGCGGCGGATGTTATGAGCCGAAGGGCCAATCAAACAGCGAACGAGGCACGTCATGGCGTGCTCTCTGCAGTTGATAGGACCAGCCGGTATTCACCGTCTCTCTGTGCACTGCTCCTCCGCCGGCTAGTCTTATAAAGTGCCGAGAGCACGCCATGACGCTGCGCTTTTTGTGGTGTTTGATTGGCCCTTCGGCTCATAACGTCGGCCGCGCTCGGACCGAAGCTGAAACGAAGTATAGTGTCCTCTTGTCGGTCGCCGGTGTCTTGTTCTTACCTGCCACGGTTCTGTGGCATTGGGCAACCTGTCTTCTTGTGGGTTTATGGGCCTATTTAAGGTGTTTTGTAAAATAAATCTTTAGCTGCGTTCGGAGTTTCGTGTCTGTCCGTCCTTTTTTGTCCCCTGGTTCCAGGGTTACCATGTCTATCAAAAGTGGTCCCGATATGGCAACAAATGACGTCACAGAAGCCGGAGTGTCATGATGCTGCATGTCGCAATTCTGGCCGTTGGTCGTAGAAATGCTAACGAAAAGCTGCAAGTAGCACAAGCGAACGCCAGTATGTCAGTCATCGCGGCGTCCCAGCTTCTGGCCGCCGAAGCTTCCGTTGACCGTCACACCGGAGAGCGACCTGCAGCAGAATAGGCGTCTGCCACATGCACTACCGAAGTTGAGACGCCACCAGGATAGCGACTGACGACAGCATGACACTTCTTGTGACGTCATCAGGCGGAAATCGAGGGACCACTTTTTTTTGGACGCGGTAAACACACCAGTTGGAGACGCGTTCTAGGGACCATATTACTACTGTCGGGTGTACCTTAAAGACCGCAGGCTAGCGGTTTGAGATACAAGTCTCTCGTTGAAGGCAGACTAACTTCCTTTATGAACATAGCGGACACTGGAGGAGGCGACCTCATCTCCAGCGTTCGCTCTGCTCAAGAGGTCACAACTTTAGAAACGGCATTTATTAATTTACAAGTAAATAAAGAAACATTTAAAGCGTGAAATAAAAGCGTTCAATCTCGGAGTCTCTGTGACAATGGCGTCAAAAGGAAATCAGCAGCAATGATCGCAACTACGCAGTTTGCTCTGGATTGGAGCGCACGTTCATTTATTCTACCATTCAATATGGACGCGACGAAAACCGTCTAGTCACCAAAAGTTGTGCCTTTTTACTCTAGCGATGCAAAAGCGGTCAAAATTATACTCCGTTTCACCTTATGTTGTACCGCAGCGAAGGCTAGAAGCGCGAGCTCATAGCGTTGGCAGCTAGCTGCCCTTGGTGCACGAGAGCTTGGGCCGCGCGCACCCCAGCCGAGCAAGATGGCGGCGCCCTGAAGGCGGACTTTTGAACGTGTTAAAGCTCTGCCATAGAACTAGATCCATCTAGACGGTGATTCGAAACATATATTTCATAAAATACTTTCGTTGAACGACGGGAGGCGAGCCGCAGGCGGAGGGGGATACCACTCGTGCAAGCAGTCTATGGGCAGTTCCGTAACTGAGCTAAACTACAACGCTGTTGCGAACGCATGCGGCCGACTAGAATTTGATATTTCTCTACCAGACTTGTAGTCACTGTAATGACCCCCAGAGGGCATCACGGTTTCAAATCCCCCCCCCCCTCCCCCAACAAAAATAAAGTATGACAGAAAAAGAACTGGGTCTGGGTGTAATCCCCACATCGATGTCCCCAAGAATGTCAGCAAATTTAGGAAAGGAGGCCGAAATAAACTCCACTTCCTAAACCACGACAATACCTGGAGAGGGGTACAAGGGGGACGAAGGACAAGCACATATCTCCTAACACAGCTACGGGTTTGTGTTTGTCCTTTGTCCCCCTTCTCCAGCGATTATCGCCGTTCTTGTCCAGCTCGCTTGCACCTTTGCGTTGCCTTATCACTTCCTGAAATTGCACAATACATGGAAGTATAGCTTACGCAAGCTGCTAACCGTTTCATGGCCCCTTAGAAGGAATGCCTTCTGTTTCCACTGTCTCCTCACAAAACTGCTGGAGATTGTTCATGACTGAACTAAGCAGGATGTTTTGCAAGTGCCCCCAGGCCGTCAGTGTTGATCCACCCCAACATGTGGCTTCCACGTGACACCAAGCTACAGTGCTGGTCGTTCCTACTTGTTGCTTAAAAGTAAATCAGCGTAAAACTGCTCAGTAATAGCAACTCTGGTGCCAGACACAACCAGCACGGCAGACAAGATCACGTCAGTGCAACCCGAAGTAGGTTAAAGAGAGAAGTCCACACTGGCCATTGGTGGCCTCCAGTAGCAGCAGCAGTACAGCAGCCGCCTAAAGGGCCGCCGTTCACAAAGCACACGAAGATTCGGTACAAATCTAACCTCGTCGTTTATTCCGTCTCCATAGCCACGGTCGCCCAAGTTGCACAGGTATGCAAAGTGCTTCGGCCAGAGAACAGAGTGGTCCTTTGGGGGGGGTTTCGCACCGAAGAACACGGGGGAGCAACTGCTCTTGTAAGCTGGAGCAGCGAAGATACGTCACACTATGCCCTTTGTTTCAATTTCACAACCGCTTCCGATGAGTGCAGCACGTCGACAGGCATCGGGGTTCCTCAACGCCTGCACAACTTCAGGCCGGGAACCAAGCTCCGTCGTCATGCAGCTAGGCTGGAGCCGACCGAGTACTGGAGGACTACACATGACTACGGGTGTATGCAAGGCCCCCCCACACACACACACATGAGCCCCAGCGGCATCCAGCGGGGAGCGCCGGCAGCAGCTTGGGGAGACGCAGCACGACACTGGCGCAGCAGCCCCCACCAAACACAGGCAACTGTGGGTTACAGCCATTTTTATTCTATCTTAACTCAGTTCGTGGTGCTCTCTTAAGGCTTACAAAAAACAACACCTCCACTTGTGTCCGGCAGCCCGAGTCGTGCCCCTCCGGCGGTCGGGGCCCCCACAGTCCCCCGGGGCACACCGTCGATGCAGACACGGCACTGGCGTTTCGACCGCCACCCCCAAACACAGGCTCCCCCAGCCTCCGGCCAGACTCCCAGGAATGGGAATGCGTGCCAACTCGAGAAACAACTGGCATACACAGGCCCCGCAGTCACGTCCAGACTACAATTGGAAACAGCCTACCTTGTATACAATGACTCGCTCTACCAAACTACAGAGAAATGGGGTGGCAAAATTATGCAGTTTTTTTTTTTTATATATATATATATGTATATATGTTTTATGTATATATATATATGTATAATTTTTGTTTCCGCCCCACAGCAGCGTGGAGAGAGAGGAACCATCTGGGTGAGATGCAGGGTTGTGGTGCACGCTGCGGCAGAAGGCACCATTCCCTGGGAGGCTTGCGTCCTGCTCTGCCTACTGGGCCTGGTACTGTTGCATAGGGTAGGCGCCGATCATGCCGGGCTGCTGCAGGCCCTGGGCCATGGCCGTTTGTGCGGCCACGGGCGGCTGGCCGGGCAGCCCCTGCCAAGCCATCTGCATGCCCACGCCCCTGCGCAGAAGGAGGGGGGGTCAGCCGCCCAGACCGGGGCCCCCCGGGGCACGCCTCACCCGAAGCCCTGGCCATAGTACTGGCTGTACGGGTACTGCACCCCCTGCATGAACTGGCCCTGCACTTGCGGGTAGCCCGCTGCTGCCTGGGGGTACCAGTATCCCATCTGCTGGTACGGGTACGAGTACTGCGTCGCCAGGTTCTGCGAAGAAAGAAGTCGTCTCGCGTCAACGCCCGGCCCCGCCTCCGACAAGGCCGTGGCCAGCGGCGCTCCCCAATCAACGGTCATCACCCCAGGAGACGAGCGGTTGCGCTGTTCTGGCCAGGAGGGATGCTTGTTCACCTCTCCTGGACTCACTTGAGGCTGCTGCTGGTTATTCGGGTCGCCAGCCTCTTTGCCCCACGAGCACTTGACCGTCTGGCCGTTCACGTCCGAATTGTGCGTCGCCACAATGGCGTGTGTCGCCGCCTCTTTGGTAGCAAACCTGCGAGCAAGTGAGGGACCTCCGTTACAGCCACCCACACCCCTTCCGCAGTCCGGCTGCAGAGGACCCAAGTGCCAAAGCCTGCCAACCGGAGATGCCACGAGAGCGCGTCCAACACAAACCCATTCAGGCCCTGTTCCCAAATCAAGTGGCACTCATAAACCCTTCTCCAAAAGGCAGCTTCCAATTCTGCTCATATACACAGGCACGAAACAGTTGGGGCAGGCACGACATCTGGGTGTATGCCCACTCGGCTCGTCTAACTTAGTGTCCAACAGCAAAGTTGACCACCCAAGGCAGGTGGTAAACTTCGTTGTTTACCATTTCACTTCAATCTTTACCATCCAAATTACCGGTGAAGCACCTTCTGCTTCACCGGTGTTTTTGGTAACAGCATTTCATTTGCAAAAAAATTGGAAAACTACTTCCACCAACTCTGCTGGACCCTGTACAGCATAGTCTAGGTTAATGTGTCAATCTGTGAGTGTGTGTGTGTTGGGGGGGGTTACGTGACAAATGTATGGAGTGCTCATTTGAATAACAAAGAAAAACAGGTGAGGATTAACTATCTCAGGCCTATTGATTGATGGGTAAAGGCACCCATCCACACAAGTTGATGTATGCTGACCAAAACAACTGAAATATAGTATTCAGAGTAGAATCAAAATGATAAAAGTGCATGAGATAATTTTTTTAAACAAAAGGTACAAAAAAATTACCCCCCCCCCCCCCAAAAAAAAAAAAAAAAAAATCAGTTTTAAGCATTAAGTTAGTAACATTAAAGGAGAGAATAGGATGCTCGGGCCCAAAAAAAGTGCAAGGTAAAAATATATCTGATACATAAACTGCAATTCACCAGCGCTGTTCAAAACATAGAAAAGAACCACGAGGAGGGGCTCTCAATCTTTTCTCTCTCGGGAAGCTTGCAGACCTCATAAATAGTAGAAAAATTCCATGAGACAGGCAAAAATAATTTGTTGTACAAGTCTCCTCGTTGTAAGGGTTGACAGGAAAAAATAAATCATGCAAAATAGAGTGTGAGCATTCGCATAGCACTGCACCTGCGCAACATAGGAGCTATTCCTGTGCGATTCAGTGGAACTTGGACTTTGGAGTCACGGAAGGGAAGCTACAGCTTAAGAACATGTTTGTCATTCTGCAAACCGCAGATGTAGATCGTAAAGGAAGCAAGCGAATATAGGGGGTATTCACTAGATGCCGTATTTGGGGGTGCTTTTTGGAGTGCATGCTCCGAACGAGCTAACATTAATGGGCTGCTAAGACCGGCAAATCTTGATGGTGAGGAATGCAGGTTGCAAAAGAACCGAGGAAGCTCGCCGTCAGCACGTGCTCAGCAGTTGCACACACAGCTATGGCCGCCAGTGAATACTCCTTATAGCCACAAAATTCAAGCTCCCTCTGGATTACTCGGAAAGAATCTCGACGAAGATCCGCGCACTCCTCAAACTGCTGCCCCGGCAGCAAAAAGGGGGTTGTGGCTATCACTAAAAAAACTTCTCATAATAAAAAAAAAAAAAAAAAAAAAAAAAACTCGATTTTGCTCAGGTTTGGGAGATCCAAGACCACTGACATACATGCGAAATAAAGGGCACAACCATTTTTACCTGTTGCATTGATTAGCCCCACCAGTAGCATTCATTAGCCCAGAGGTTTTCAGATGGGGTTACCCAGACCCTTTGGGTTCGCAAAGGCATTCTAGGGGTCCGCAAAGGCGTTCTAGGGATTTGCAAAGCCAAGCCTCATCAGTCAAGCCCGGCAATTGAGCTGTATTTCAGACTCTGAGTTGTGCTGTCTTTCATCTTTTGCCCAGCCTCGGGGTTTGTCTTAAAATTAAAAGTTGTATTTTCTCAGATTGAGAGGAAACATTCCAATTTCCGGGCGAGTTTTCTCGTGATATGTCAATAAGGCAAGTACACTTCACACGAGCCCTTAGTTATATCCAGTTGTTAAATCACTATCATAGTAATTAACTTACAACTTTCCCTTCCCCTCACGAAGAACGGGGCCCTCCATCATCTCCGCAAATCCACAAGGGGTTCGCAAAACATCAATGGTTGAGAACCACTGCATGTGCCAGTAGAGAGCACCTGTTCTGTTTACTAAACACCTACTTATTTTGTGGTCTGTTTCAAAATGTAGGAATGAAGTTGTAATGCACTATTTCTCATAAATGTCAGAAGTTTGGCTAAGTGGAGTGTGATGGCAGTATTAGCAATATCAACACCAAAATTGCAACAAAAAAGAAAAAAGAAACACTTAGATTGCCATGTTTATTTTTTTTATTTTATTTTTAGATTTGTGCTCAGCCGCTTGGACTTCTTAGGACTGACTCCAATGAGCTCAAAATGTGCAATACACTCCGGCAGTATGTCATTGAAAGAGAACTTAAATTATTGGAGAGATTCAACCACACATGGCCTCACTTATTGAAGATGTTGGTACAGATGCCTCACGGTACCTCTGGCTTTTCGTCTCTGTAGCTTATAAGCAGGGTTGGGCAGATACTCTAAAATGTATTTGGAAATACAAATACTCGGATACACTTAGAATACACAAAAAATATTGATATTAAAATACATCCGCACAAAAGTATAGGGACATGTATCAGAAATACACATAAAAAATAGAAAAGCATTTGGAAATACGAACATAGGAATACATTTTGCCGGGGAAGTAACACTCGCATACATTTGTCTTTAAAGTGGGACACTGGCTAGAGGTTGAACTTCCAAACTACTCAAGTGATCGGAATGAAATTTGCAGGGGAGATTGAACTTCAGACGTATGTGTACTGTGCAAACTCTCAGCTCTCTAAGACAAATTTACATACCTGCATAAGTTGATGTGCCTCTCTTCCTTAAGAAATCTATGATATGCAAATGAAGCTATTAAGCACCATTTTGACTGCTTGAATATAAAGTGGGGAGTATGGGACTTCGGGCTATCTAGTTTTAATAACTCAAATTAACTATTTCAGGAAGAGTTGTTGCCTTAAAATATGAGATGCATATCTGTCCTATGTCAACCTTTGAAAACTTAGTTTTTTTTATCACTGAGGACTTCATCCTATAACAAAATAAAAGTAGATAGCCCGATTCCCCCCCCCCCCCCCCCAGTAAATTTCAGTTCAGAAACATGTTGACTGTGGTATCAGAATACTTTCACCTTCGAACAAAAGATTCCTTCATATGAAATTTGCAGCAAAAAGTGGAACTGAGAAAAATGCATTCAAACATTGAACTCCTTTACTTTGTTACTGCCTCATAATGTGTTGAAAATATTTTAGATCAAAGGAACTAGGCGTATGGTTAGCAAATTTAGTGTAAGGGTGTACAATTAGTTTCTAAAACAGAAAACCTCAAAATTGAAAAATGAATTTTTAAAAAAAAATTGAAATTTAGGTTTATGTTTTCTCTTAAAGGGGCAGTGCAACGACTTTCTAACTTTGGCCAATTAACTACGGAAATTAATCTGCGTCAACTATGGAACGAAGAACAGAAAACCGTATTTTCTTGCAAGCGTTAGTTTTTATTTTAAAAAACAAAACAAATTGAAGGTCAAAGTGCCTCAACTCTCCACGTCACCTTTGGAGTGACATACTCTGGGGGATAACGTGGTTTCCTGTTGGGTTTTCTCTCTGGAGACTCCAGACGCTTCCTTTGTGATTGTCGACGTCAAAAGGATTAGCATCGGCGAAGGTCACGGCGAGCGATCGACACAAGAGACGGTTCGCCATAGGGCTGACGGCGAGTGTAGCAGCAGAGGGGGAGAGGTTTTGTTCACTTCCGCGTATCCCCTAGAGATGCTAGCGTAGTTCCCGTAACCACCACACGCGGCTTGATCGGTAAATACTAAGTGTTTTTTGCTTCTTTTCGCGATTACACGGCGGAACAGCAGTTTTTGGGGGCAAGGTGACCCACTTTTGGTCCCTTGTGCTTGGATAAACAACATAAAAAATACAAACTGCCAATTTTTTCGACATTAAAATTGTTACACTACCTCTTTAAAGAGCTTTGTGTTATGTGAACAGTGGTATTACTGAAAAAGTTACTATTTGTAAAAGAGAAATTAAACAATGTTTTGCTACCTATTTCACCTATACGACTTTTCTGCCTCATTTAACTACATTTGTTGAGAATTTTTAAATATCTCGTCAATCAGCCGCTGCCGATTTGGGCAAATATCTTAGCAAATGAGATTAAGCGTTCCACAGGACACTAAGGCTAAAAAAAAAAGTCATCCAGTGAAAACAAAAACTCATACTAACCGTGAGAAAAAAATTGAAATTAAACTGACGTTCTCGAGCCCGTGACTGTTTTCGCACAGAATTGCCATTTTCCATTTAACAAAAAGCTGTGGGAACTAAGCGAGTCTTCAGTAGGTTAGAAATACCTTTCGTCCAGAATGCAGTGCAGTTCTCTTTAAGATATATTGCACGCCTTCGAAGCAATATCACACAAACCCCCAAATTCGTTTTATATCTAACCAAATATCCCCGAACGCTCAGCATCCTCTAGCCCCATGTCGGTACCTTTTCTGCAGTCACTTCAAGACGTTTCCTTTATATTAAATGTTCTTTTATCTGATGATTCGAAGAGATAAACTTTACGCTCACCCTAGTAAATGGGGCTGGGAGTGCAGCGTACAGTTATGAAGCTCGTGCCCACAGTGTTTTCAATGTTTTGATTCTACAAAATATAGTTGCCCAACCGAAGCACCCCAAAAGACATATGTTGGATCTTTGGAAACAGGGAAGGGAGTCACAAATGCCAGGGGCCATGGCCCATAATATTCGAAACAAACCTTGGTCTGCATGATAACTATGTCTCAAGGTCTGATTTCTACCCCTTTCGCTTGGGGGTCACTGATTTCTCGAACATTTAACGAGATCCCTTGGCTCAGGATTCTATTGCAATACAAGGAATACAGCAAGAATGTTTCCTGATACTGAAATACAGATACTGACTGAAAAATTGTATCGGGATACAGAAATATAAATACTAAAAATATTTCTGAAATACTATTGCGATACTGCCCAACCCTGCTAGGGTTACGTGTCCCAATAAACCCTCACCGGTAAAATTTCCGTCAATTCAGATTTACTTCAAAAACACAGAATTTAAGGCCCGTTCACACACTTGCAACCATACCTTGGCAAACCTCACTCATGAGGGCCCTCACTCACCCTCATCTTCACAGGTGAGGTTTGGCTGAGTGAGTTTCTGAACCAGGAAAATTCATGAGTATGAGGGTGAGTGAGGGCCGTGAGGGCTGTGAGGGCTGTGAGGACGGTGAGTGTGTGAGGGCCGTGAGGGCGGTGGGTGCGTGAGGGCCATGAGTGCGTGAGGGGTGTGAGGGCGGTGAGTGGCGTGAGGGCCATGAGTGCGTGAGGGGTGTGAGGGCGGTGAGCGCATGAGGGCCATGAGTGCGTGAGGGCGGTGAGTGGCGTGAGTGTGTGAAGGGCGTGAGGGGGGCCTGAGGGCGGTGAGTGCGTGAGGCCCCATTCAGATGGAGCAACTTTCTCAGCAATTTTGGTGTTTATGGTGGGGTGTTCTCTAGCTTTTCCTAGATCGACACGAATTGCTGAGATTGAGTCCGGCTCGAAATAAGCGAGCAACTCGGAGCAATTCGAAGACGTTTGAGGCGACTGCATTTAATCAGGGACGCAATATTTTCATGTGATACCTCGTCCCGGTGATGATGACAACAAAAGACTTGGTTCTGGTATGAAATTGATCGTTTTTCGAAATAAACTGTTTCAGGAAGGTGCGTTAGTATTCTCAACGAGATATAAATGCATAAAAACACGTTTATAGCGCGTAATTGTGTGTCTAAATAGTGCAAGAAAACAAAAATTTCATGATGAGGATGGCAAATTGCAGCAATTGGTTGTTGCGTGTGAACGCGGGCGGCCCGTGTTGCTGGTGGTGCGACGTCAAGTTTCTGGGCGAAATTGCTCCATCCGAAGCTGGCCTGAGTGGCGTGAGGGCCATGAGTGCGTGAGGGGCGTGAGGGGTATGAGGACCGTGAGGGCGGTGAGTGCGTGAGAGGTGTGAGGGCCGTGAGGGCCATGAGGGCGGTGAGTGGCGTGAGGGCCATGAGTGCGTGAGGGCCGTGAGGGCTGTGAGTGCGTGAGGGCCATGGGTGAGTGAGGGCCATGGGTGAGTGAGGACCATGAGTGCACGAGGACCATGAGTGCGTGAGGGCCATGAGTGCGTGAGGGGCGTGAGGGCGGTGAGGGTCGTGAGGGCGGTGAGGGTCATGAGTGCGTGAGGGCTGTGAGTGCGCGAGGGGCGTGAGGTTCAGTGAGGGTGACTGAAGGGCTGAAGGTGAGTAGGACTGTGAGGATGAGGGTGAGTGAGGGCTGAAGGTGAGTGTAGCTGTGAGGGTGAGTGAGGGGTTTAAGTGAGTGTGGCTATGAGGGTGAGGGAGGGCGACCTAAAATGCCGACCTCTGCTTGCAACCGAGTAGGACCGACAGAGATTAGACCGGTTTTTAAGCCTCTTGCGACAGCTTAGGGCCTGCTCCGCAGTAGCGCATCCGGTCCTATGCTGTCGCCAGAGGCTTAAAAAACGGTCTTGTCTCTGTCAATCGTACTCGGTTGCACGTGTGTGAACGGGCCTTTAGAGGTCGCGACGGCCAAATAAAGTTGTATTTTACAAATAAATTTTATAAGAGCACGGGGTGTTTCCACTAAAATCTTGGACTACTGACAAATGGGGATTTACCGTTTAGCTCGCCAAGGTTCGTTCAAGACAATGGGTCCTGGTACCTATGGGTCATGATCAAAGCCATTGTTTAGGTTTCCAGTTTGGACCATACTATTTGTGCTTCTCAGAAGGAGGGGGGGTAGTGTTTTTATAACAGTGAAAGCTATGAACCCATACATTTCAATGGAGAAGAGGGGCTGCTGAAGCTTTCATGTTTCCCAGCAACTGTGAGTGTAGTCATTTCAAGGTATTGACTGCTCATTCAATACAAGTGAGTTCTAATAAACGATTGTGTCGATATTTTTTTTTTTTTTTAATTTGAGAAATTGGGAACAGTTAAATTAAACTTCTTATTTGGAGATTTAGGAATCTAATGAAAATAAACTCTGATAAACCCCAAATTTTCAGCAAATCTTCCACCTTGCTCATGCAATTTATGTCATGCACCACCAGAATCAAGGTACAGACCAACAAAACGAACACTACTACTCTAATAATGATGAAACAAAGCAAATGAAGCACAAACAAAAGGAAAGTGACTCCTCCGTACAAACATGCACAGGTGGGGGGAAGAAAAAGAAAATTCCTCCGCAACTGCACTACGTCGGACATAACCGATGCTGCGCGGTTGCGCCACCCGAAACCACGGCAGGAAAACCACGGCAATGTGTCGACGCGTCAACAACGGGGCAGTCGCTGATCTTCAATTAAATTGCCACTTCAAAGGGACATACCATATTTATTGGAATATAAGGCGGTCACGATTATAAGGCAAGGGGGCAGTTAAAGGCCCCAAGAAAGAGAAAAAAAATGTCATATTGCTATACTGAGCTTCGAATATAAGGCGGGGTATGACTTTGAGATTACAGATTTTAGAAAAAAACCTTGCCTTATATTCAAATAAATACGGTACACTCAGACAAGCTGGAAACGTCGGTGTTCTTCCAAAGTAGCTCAACGGAAACCCTTCACATAAGTGCAATTCAGTGCAGCGCATCCGTGGAATACATCCGTTGATTCTGTGCTTTTGCAGCATGTAGCCTTGCTCCCGATGATCAGAACAGCGCCTGCCTGTAGTTCATTGCATATCCTAATTAAAACTTTGGGGAAAGTAAAATTTAATGGAAAGAACTGAGTATCGATTAAAACCACCTGGGGATCTCTAATGCGCCAGTGAACTCTTTGTAAGCACCTTTGATGCAACAGGCTTCAGCCAGATTGCGAGCTCTTCGAACGGCGTTTCTTTGCAGGTAAACCTCATGAAATACAGCCTCAGTGAACATAGACGAAGAACAAGAAACGAACATAACAGGACAACAGCCGTTGTCCTGTCGTGTGTTTTTTGTTCTTCGTCCGTGTTTACTGAGGCTGTATTTCATTGTGTTTTAACTCTTACCAGCTGGCTCAATTTACAACCCTACTTTCCTTGCAGTGCCTAGGGACAGGCACACCTCCCGATGCAAGCAACCTCGCTTCGCACACTTCTTCAGATGCCACGCTAACCGGCCGACAATTGCGTCAGCGAAGCAACAGCCTCCCAGGTAGTTCCACCAAGGTAGGCAAGGACAAGACTTACCTAACAAACGCATAGCCTTTATCCTTGAAAACTCTGATCTCCTGAATGGCACCGTAGGTGTTGAATGTTTTCTGCATTAGCTCCTCTGCAAGGACAAAACGTGAAAGCTCAAGAAAACAGCAACAATCAAAGTTCATACCGAGTGCTGTTGCACCTCTGGGCACAAACTCTGCACTGTTTGCTGATCCCAATAATGCCAGGGGAAGCCCAGTGATACTCGAGATTCATTTCAACCCAGTCTACTTGCACCTGTACAACACAATGGCACCGGGGACACAAAAGAGCGAAAGTATGCCTCGATACGGTTCACCCCGCAAGTCCTGGCAAGCGGCAAACAAGTGAGAGGCAGAAAAGGTGCAACTCCACCCAGTCTCAATATCATTTTGTCAGAGGCCCCTCTAATGCACACTGAGCATTCAGACTATGGGACAAAGGACATTCCAAAGCTTTGTTCACCACTGGGTGGACAAAGCGCTGGAAGCTACAGGTGCGTTGGAACAGTCAACTGCTGCTCCGGTAACATCTGATCACACTTTCTGTGAAAACTTGGGGGCAGAGAGTAGGGTCAGGTGATGATAGGAAGGCGTCTCATTGGTCTGGCAAGCATGCAGCTTCCACCACCCTCCGAGCTTAGTGGTGAACGGAGAAGAGAGAATAGACATGATTTATTACTAATGACATCTCTCAGTGGTCACATGCAGCACTCAAGCCTTCGTGTCACCTTTGAGGCTTCCGCACCGCCCCTGGTCCCCCTGCAATGTACTCCGAGTGTGTTTTTAGGGTCCCGTGATATGAGCCAATACAAAATGGGTTACGGATGTTGAAATTCATTGAAAACTATAATATTCGCAACCCCCCCCCCCCCCCCCCCAGCTTTTTTGTGGTGCCACAAGCTTTTAGATTGCAGTCTAAGAAAAGTAATACGCAAAATGGACGTCGAAATTTGATTCAACAGTTGAGAGTGGATCAGCTGGGCTAAAACCCATCGCAAGAAAAAGATGCATGCCAGCAGGAATGACTGTTCCTAATGTCTAAGTGAGCTTGTTTGTTAAAGCAGTTTCTCAAAACGAGGACAGAGTTTGGACACTGCAAGCCAATGTCCCAGCTTAATGGTGTGCTGCGACCTGTACTTCATTTTCATCGATGCCACCGTAGAGAGGCCAGGTTCACATTTCTTCCACGTTCCTTAGCCGCTTCGCAACCCGCAACCCCCCCCCCCCCCCCCCTTCCCCCCCCCCCCCGCCGACCACCTCGCAACCCTCTGCAGTTTGGGAAGCAGCGTGTTGCAGGATTGCATGTTGACCTGCCCACCTGCAGACACAGTCCATCTGCACCCGGCAAGGTTTTTGCGGTACAGTGCAATCCACTTATAACAATCAGTTTATAGACTAGAAAATATCAGTTTCTAGTTCAGATACAACAATAATCGGTTATAACGATTGCATTTTTGGTTTTTCTCATTATCGTTACAAGTGGATTGCACTGTACATCCCTGGTGACCGACAGGAGCAGAGTGGCAAGAAGGTTGTTCAGTTTCCTCGCCTCCAACGCGCGCTTCCGACCTTCAACAACGCTTTGGCGTTTCACGAGCTTTGAGCGCAAACGCACAGCCAAAGCACGGCAGAAGGCAAGAACCAAGCACAGGTCGGGCGTTCACAAGAGACGCAGTTCTCAACCTGCCAGTGACTAGAGCAGGGCTGCCATGTGTTGGGGTTCGTTCCTACTTGGCATCTGCAACTGCACGAGCTGCAAGAAAGCGGGCAGTCTGCGACCTTGCAACTGGCCTCTTAGCACAAAGAACTGAACTCTACATCTGTTTGACCGTGACATCAAATTTTATCGTCTCAATTCTTCGTGGACTTTAGAACTAGAAAAGCTATGGGTAGTGTTCTATGGGGCGGGATACCCACAGTGTCAATACACCCCACGTGCCATACATTCCAAATACATAACTACCAGTTTTATCCAGTTCTTATTTTGGAACTGAGACACTGAACTCGAGACTGTGGACTGCTTCGAGTTCAGTCGGCAGTCAAGGCAATCAGCAAGTTGGAGACTGTTAAAACCCCAGCACCGCTGCCACGTGCCTATATGTGGTGCAAACCTAAAGAAAGACAAAAGCAGCGATGTGCTCACGCCGACTGCGTCGTGGGCTCGAAGAGGTGTACTTAAAAGAAACGCAGTGTCCTCTGGAAAGCTAGGAAATTTTTCCATTACATTATTCCAATCTTCCTCTAATCTGTAGACATATATACTCAAAGACACTCGTAAGAGCCTAATACTAAATGGCAATAACAGACAATATGTTACTGTGCACTTTCTGTTAGCTCACTCGTGCAGCTCTGCACGCCACTTCAGTGTCACAATCCGTCGCAAGTCAAGAACACTCGAATGAGGTACCTGCATCCTCTGGCACATACCTCTGCCATGATCAGACGGCATAAAAAACGCTGCTAAGGGGTTTGCATTGCTCGCGAAAAAAAGGAAAGCAAAGCGGCGCAAGGTGGTTGCGTTGCCAAGCACGGGTGTCAAAATGCACCAACACGTGCAGCTGCGAATGAGTCAACAGGGAGTTTTAGAACATAAACTGTAGTAAGCTGGGCTAGTTGGTATGCATTAAGCATGATGATAGACTGTGCACAAATAGACAGAACAGACAAAGTAAAAAGGGAACGGAAGAGAAGCGCGTCTCTTCCGTTCTCTTCTTACCTCGTCTGTTCTGTCTAATTGTGCGCCGTCTATCATCAGTTTTAGAATAGCCTACACAAAAGCTTTGCATACCCAAAGAATTGCATAGTTGCCCCTGCGAACGTGCCGACTGCTAACCGCAATTGGCACTTCGCAGGCACCATTTTTCGGAAAATCACTCGCATATGCAACAAGTCTTTGCATTCCTCCATGGAGGATTTGTGATGCACGATAGTTGGCTAAAGCCAAGATGAGCACAGTTAGAAAATGGAGGCTACTTGGACTACGGCCGTGACTGCTTTGGTGGTCGTCGTAAATGCAACGTCGGCAGCACCCGTGACTGCTATTTTCAACACAAGACGACGTTGCACTCCTATGGGAGTTGCACGTCACAAACGGTTTGGAAGACCTAGCAGGGTTGGCAACAATCACCCGCACTTTGCTGCTTGCAACGTGCGAACGCTTCTCGGCGAAGGTCAGTATTCGCAACTCCAGCCCACCGCTCGCCCTCTCGTGGAGGAACGAAGGACCAGAGGAGCGGGCCACGCGGCAAAGACAGTAGCAATGACTGTCGGGCCTGGTGCTGCAGTTACCGTATGGTTCTGTTCGGCGTGTACGTGCATCATGCAGTTTTAATGACAAAAAAAAAAAAAAAAGTGTGTTAAAATAGGAATTGCTGTGTTCTGCTTCGCAACTTTAAAAAAAACATAATTTTTTTAATGCACGTCAACACCCCCCTCACCTGCGATATGCTCCTGCCCTGACCACCTTGTATTTGTAGTCAAATGAATTTTAGCATACTGACAGTGACAAAACGCATGGAAAGTCCTGGAGAATATAACCCAGTCTCTTCCGCCATCAAGGAATTACCATCCCGCCAGCTACAGAGCGTTGGAGTTGCGAATACGAAACCTCTCCTGCCGAGGCGACGGGAGCAGGCACAACCAGTCGACCGCTCGCATTGCATTCTCATATTTATACAAATCTGAAGAGTTGCTCTAGAAAAAGAATTTTTGTTTGAAGTTGCTTCATTTTGTGGGTGAACTAAAACTTGTTATAGTATCTTGGTGGAGTTGCCCGCGCGACATGCTTGGGTTTTGCGTCACGACGGAGACACGCTATTCTAAATCTCTCGTGTAACATATGTCAACTCAAGCACTAAATTTGGCGCTATTGTGCATTAAAATTATGTATGTTATTCTGAATTTCCATAATATTCTGTTGTTTCTGTGTCTCTCTCGTCTATGGGCTTTCTTCAGTATCACTGCATTGACTGCCCGTCTGCAGACTCTTGTTTTAGAAAAGGCATTTTTTTGCACTGGCAATGATTATGGGCATGTGAGAGTAGCGGGGTGTTGATGCTCAAACGCGATGTGTGCGAGCGTCCAAATTTTCGTCTCGGTTCTGCTGCCTCAATATTCACATGCGAGGCAAACTTGTTGCCCGACAGCTCAACTATGCTTAATATCTCCTGGATATCAGCAGAAAATATACTCCTCGGCGAAAAGAACAAAAACAATGCAGAAGTGCAGCAGAGCAATGAATCTAGGTGGCACTGACAGAGCGAAGTTTTGCCTTTGCTTTATGCAAACAAAGTTGAACAACGCTAGCCAACATACCTCATTTCACAGGAATCCGGCCAGTAAAGCCAAATGAAAAAAGTGGACGTTCGCCAACACTGTGTTGCAGTACAAAAAGCCCTTCGTGGATTGATTGTGTACTAAGAAAATTCGACAAAAACTGCCTTATTGGCATGCAGCACTAACACGATTCCTTTCATCAGCTGGGCTAGTCCCATTAGAACGCTACTTAGTTTGTCCGAAATTAGCTGCAAGAATTTCCGATAAAGAAAAGCAATGTGACCCATATTTATTTTGTCAAGTAGTTTGTATCCTGATTGGCTGCACAGCAGACTTCCAATACCTCACTTGTTCTAGGTCCAGCCTAAGTTCGGGCGGTAATTTTTTCTACCAGATCCTGGTGGCTTTCAAACTTGTTCTCGCAGGCACAATAAAAAATTACCGCCATTTCCTGACCCCACGCTTCACTCGTCTACTATCTTGGCTTACCCCATTCCTAACCAGGTCACCTGGGCAGTGGGGTTCCTAGCAGTGGCCTATCCCAAGTAATTTTTGCATAATTAGAAAATCGTGCTGAACACCGGAGTGGGCTTTCGTGCGGGAGTGGGGCGCCTGCCAGAATCTTACGGTAGTCACGGTGCCGACAGACACTTGCTCGAGGTGTTCCACAAGGTATTCCCTGCCGACAGAGAAGCCCCCTTTCAAGCAGTATTGCCACGGGACGAGCGGAGGAGAGTCCTGACAAATAACACTAGCTCTTTGTTATCTCACAAACAAAAGTCGAACCAAGGAGTGTCCAACCTCTGCAAAGCTGAGCGAGCTGACTTGCACAAAGGAATGGTGGGTCCACTCTGCTTCCAGACCAGTCAGCCACCGGAGTTCTGTGACTGGAGGTGTCGCAGGAGCACATGCAGTGTTAGTGCTACCTCTGAACAACACATTCTTTGGCAGTCACTGAAAACGAGACCACATTCGTCGCAGCCTTGAGAAACGACGGGACCCTTGTTTGGAAAGCGTCGTGCAGTAACTTGGTGGCAACTTTATCTGTCTTATTCGCAACAAGCCTAGAAACTGCACTTGTGCCCACGTTGCTCAAGGAGGACTTGCAGCCCATTGTGCAGTGAGCACTATCTGAATAATTTGAAACACGACTAATCTAACTTCTAGTCCCAGGAATGCCCTGGTCTGTCCCTAATATTCAGATTAAAGGATCACTCCTTGGACAGCGACAAAGTCACATTCACACTCTTTCACTTCAAGCATACACCGAACCCCCTTGAAAACAAAAACATGTGGAAGTACTCGAGATGTATCCAGAAGTCCATGCCACGAATAAGGCAAACTAATGAACCGATAGATCAACACGCGTTTACTCGTCATGGGATAAAAGAACAACGTTGGAGAATTATCGCTCTCCCTTCTTTCAGCCCCCCACGCCCCCCCCCCCCCCCCCCCCCTCTCCACGACTTGGCCAGCCGATGAAACCAGACAATAGAAAACTTCCCTGTTAGTAGTGTTGCACCTAATAGTTTTATAATAGCACGATTTCTCTAATGCTGCAAATGCTTATTACCAACTTATACATCTTGCACGCATGGTATCTAGTGGCTCACGGAGCTATCCGCTGTCGTCTACATGTTGCCAGTTTTTCACACAACTAATGTGGCTTTTTTTTTATCACCGACTCTCCCACAGAGGAGATATAGAAAGTTTTCCCAGAAGGTAAGACACAACCATTTTAAGTTGCACCTTCTGGGAATCGCACACCACCTCAGGTACGTCCACATGCACCATGCGCCATAAAACATATGCAGACTGAGCCGATCAAGCGCAGCTAACAGAGAGGCCGGGGAAGTGCAATGACTGCAGACCACTGAAGAAAACAAAGCAAGACCAGAATAGTGGAACAGATGAAATTGAAACCACTACCTACTTATATGGCAAAGCGTTTAACAAGCATCCCCTTAATGTCTTAATTATGGCACTACAAATTAAAACTTTCTGTTAAAATTTAAAAGCTGAATATTTTCATGAGAATGCAAGATGTGTCGTAATCATGTTTTTTTGTTTTTTTTTGGTATAAAAAGACAATGCCAGTCTCTATTCCCAAAGTTCAATGGTTCCCAAGCACTGTTCGGCTCCAGATCATGTGGCCGCTTGTTCTGGCTGCGAGTTGAGGGTGCTAACGCTGCTCGTTCTTCAATTTTTTTGCAAATACCATTGCGTAGAGAGAAAAACTAACGCATGTTTCATAGGTTATAGAAATCGGGGATTCGTTCTGAGTGGTATTTGTAAAAAGTGTGAAAATTCGTGCACCGCCACTTAAAAGTTCCACGAAATTAGACACACAAAGGCTACCTTGATGGAAGCAATATGTGGGATGCTTCTCAACACGATCTACAGCTTGAGAGGTTTGCGCGCAAGTTAATATTTAAAAGGATAGCTTATTAATCCGCATTAATCAACCAGTTTGGCGCATAGCAATAAATCTTTTGGCTTGCATAATAGGGCTGAACAATACTATGTCAACTCGACACACGTTGCGTGCATCAGCTTTTTTTTTTTAGGTCTTGGCAGAAGTTAGCTGAAACCCCATGTACACAGATAGTAGTGAAAAATTCCTTCGAGGCAACAGAGCCTGCATCTATGTGCATCTTGAGACAAGTATCTAGGTACACGCTTTCGACCCACTGCGCCAGAAATAAATTTTAAGAGCCTTCTTCAGTCTCACCCTGCGCCACTCAAATTATGTTTGCTTTCCTTTATGGCCGACATGGGCGGCTAGTACCCAGGCAACAGGCTCGTCGGTGGTCGAGTGGCTGCCCTGATTGACAAAGAGCATGCGGCCAAAGTACGCGAGAAGCCCGATCCGGAAGGTGCACGCCCTTGGCATATTCCCAACATCCAGCGGTAGTAGAAACGTGCTTCCTTAAGGTCCGCGTTGTTGGGGACACCTCTCAATGTCATTATGCTCGCCAAGAATAGGCTGCATGTGGGTCCACCCCTGGAGCGCCAGCGGGAGAGCCCCGTGTGAGGCCACCCACCCGAGAGCCCCTGGGTGATGCCGCCGCAGTAGACGGTGCAGTTGCTCGGACTCGACTGGTTGTAGACTTCGTCGAAGGTGAGGGGCTTGGTGCTTGTCGAGATGTCCACTGCAAGCCAGCCGAACAATCAGAACTGGGCACGGGGTTGTCCCCGGGGTGCTCCACTCACCCTCCGCTTGTGTGCGGTTGGCGGGGGGCTTGCGCGTCGCCCAGTTGGTGCGGATGGCTCGGCTGCCCAGCCACTGGCCGTTCATCGTGCCAATGGCATTCTCGGCGTCCTGGGGAGACAAAGCGGGGAGTCAGCCGCCCACGAGGCCCCGCGTCCCGCAAACCCACCGCTTTCTTGACAAACGAGACGAAGCCGTAGCCCTTGGACTTGAGCGTCTGGGGGTCCCGCACCACCCGGCAGTCCCTGCAACCAGAGGGGGCCCCTCGCTGCACACCACCCCTAAAGCCACCCACACGGGGACCCCGAACACAGCCCAGTGCACAAAGTCCCGTTTTTCCACTCTACCATCCGGTCAACCCTACGAGCCCAAGGGTGGAGCCATTCACTCGCCCCACGGCACCCTTTAGAAGCTCCAGACACCCCTATCACAAAACCCGCGAGCACTGTGCAAGGGACCTTACGGGAGAAGCACGCCTACGCGGCCTGCGACGCGTCCCCAAGACGACTGCGGAACAAACTGAGGATTACGATTGTCCTTCTAGCCCACGATAGGTCATCTAGTTTTCAGATTTATAAAGTTTGCGTGACAAAAAGACTGTCTAGCAGCTAAAGCATCATTTGATGTCGGTAACCCCAATACCAGAAGTAGTTTATACACAAAATAAAACCTATGCAATACGCCTCTGCATTACCAATAGCACATTATTCCGATAGCTGAAACCAGGCTGAATTTGTGTCCCCTTGTATCGAGTGGACAAAGTGACGGCCCCAACGAGAGAATGTGGATCCAACTCAAGACAATTTTTGTGACTATGCATTACTGGCACGCAAAGATGCAAAGTGAGAGTGACACTGGATCATCACAATTCCCCCCCAAAAAAAACGGGGAAAAAAAACAACAAAAAACGTACCAGTTTGATTTGAATGATGTACAGGATTTGTATGAGGATTAAAGACAGAACTTTTAGGGTTTTCAAGGACTTTGAAGGCCTCAGCACAATATTTTCCAAGGCACAAAATCTGGCAGTTTTACAACAGGGGTGGCCAGGTTGACCCTGCCTAAGAGCCGCCAACAAAACCACGAAGCTTTGTAGAGCCGCGGAGGGAGGGGGGAAATCTTTTCCACAGCAATAAACGAATTTAGAACTACTTTCAATCTATCCGAGTCAAAAGCGTTCAACTCTACGTAAGATAGCAGTAACACAATACTACCAAACCTCAACCTGTCTTTCGATTTAAAGCTCATTTAATTTCTCTTTTCGGGGAAGTGCTCGTGTGACTGGGAGGGAGGTGGGGAAGTGTGTGGAGGGGGGTAAGGGAAAGAGCCAGGAGCCGCACTTTTACATGCGAAGAGCCGCAGCTTGGCCACACCTGGTATATATGATCAACTTTGTGGTTACAGATTACAGTATTTTTCCTGTAGGTTTTTCGTTGTTTTCTTCTCCTTTTCGTTCAGCCTTTTCCTCAGGCTGTCACCTGCATGTATGCGATGTCTAAGGCCCAGAAGAATAGGCATTTGCCTATAATTGCCTACATAGATCATTCTATGCCAAACATACTGGACGGTGATACCAACCGTCCCAAATTTCTTCCCCCAAAAATTGCAGCTGTTTGCTAAATTCTATATGGACTTTTTCCAAACTATTTTTCTAGAATAAGAATTCTTAATCATGTGAGCACGCTCTGAAATTTTCGCAGAAAAGCCGAACAGGTACAAGCTTAAAACTTTCTGCAAATATATGAGCGATTAAAGAGGATACCTCAATTATTTTAAGATACTCTGCCGAGATTCTTTTTTCGTGCAATGCCAGAGTTCATATCATGTAAGTTTGTGTTGGTTTTTCTGGAGTAAACAAGCACAAAACAAGACATGCTGAGCATTTAAAACAGAAATTACTTGACCTTGAAAGCATTTAAAAAAAAATTTCCGGGCTTGACTGTTGCTATATTTTATGCTTAAAATTATTAGAAAATAATAAAGGAAACCGACTTTCCAAAAAAAAAAAAAAAGAACTCTCAAAGTTACCAAAAACTTGCTGAAGATGCAGGATGGCATATCAGTTACATTAGCTTTTTACCTTGAAACTAAGCAAATTTGATCAGAGTAAATTTTGTTTTTCGAGAGAAAAACATTTTTGAAGTTGAACACAGGCATAATCGGTTTTCGTCATACCTAATGATTTTTAACCTTCACTGCAAAAAATTTCAGAAAGCAGACATGTGTAAAACCAAATTCTATAAATATTTTTTGGAAGTCTGTTTAGAATCTAGTGATTTAGTTTTTGTTTTTCAAAGACGTCAGTGACTGTTGGTATCACCCTCTGGGATGTTTGGCACGGGATGACCCACACGTGACCTGGTGAAATTTGCCTGCATTTTCTATAAATTAATTAAAAACACCAATTTGGCCCCTTTAATTAATGTGGTTATTTTTAGAGCACAGCTTTTAAGCATCCATTTCTGGGTTGAGCAGCGTCGGCGTAGCCGCGCCAAATTTTGCGGGACAATTGACATCATGCGAACTCAACACCAATTCGATTCTCTGCTAAATTTAGTTTTAGAATTTTTCTGCTAAATTAATTAGCAGAAAAATTTCAGTTTCTCCGCTATACGACGTCAATTTTCCCGCTAAATCTAGCGGAGAAACTAAATTTGTTCATAGGTGACGAGACACCAAGTCCATGTGACGTCATTTTCCCCGCTAAATTCAGCGGGAAAACTGAATTGAGAGAGGAGGGGAGGAAGTGAGTGTACAGAGGAGGGGCATAACCTCCCTTCCTCCCCCTCCTCAAGGGCTGCGCTCTAATTTCGCATTACAGAAATTTGTAAACGACTTCGTTTTTTTTTTTCTTACCGTTTTCAATTGCTACCTTGCTTTGCTGGTTATAACCCCAGATCTGACTTCTTTTTCTCTCTAGGTGTATACTCCGTACACGGGAACTTTTCGTTTTTTGGGCCACACGCCAATCGGAAACCTTCATTTGTTTTGACTGCTCTGTGCGTGATATGCGTCGTAATCAGAAAATGTAAGGAGAACAATGGAACACCGAAAGAATGGTCGACCTTGATGCAGCAACAAGAGTAAGTCGCTGCGACACAGCACAGCAACATACCACTGTCAGGGATACAATCTGTTGTCGGTAATGTACTATAATTGGTTCTACAGCAACTCGAACACAACACTGCCTCTCCGAGAGTTGAGAGATGTGAAAGGGAAGCTGAAGAAGTTTCTGAATTCGGGAAAACTGCTAAAAGTTCTAAATATATGCAGCTCAAAACCATGTGGGTTAAGTTTTCGTTCAATTTTATGAGTAGAAGCGAAGTTATCACCAATTCAGAATTTGTCATAGCTGCACCTGCTCCTGTCTGCTGGAGAGAACTAGCTGATCTCATCAATGGGGTCAGAGTACTCTTGTTCGCCCCCAAGCTGTCCTGGAGATGCCGACAACTGTGGCAATTGCTGGATATTTTTCTGAAATAAAAACTATTGCATTTCCGCCTGTTTAATTTCAGCGCAATATGCAAATTCAGGCGACAAAAAACTATAAAATGGCGCTCCTAAATAAATTTCTTTTTAAATCGGTGTTTTAGCTTTCCTTTGGTGCTTTTGAACAGCAACGTCGTTCATAGCCGACACATTTTAGACATTGAGGCCATAACGCAGTAGGTGTGGCCCGGGAGGCTGCCCCACTCCTATGCCAAGACCAGGAAGGACACTCACGAGATCTCGCCAAAAGGTGCAAAGGCGTCCCGCAGTTGAGTTGTCTCGATTTCAGGACTCAGGTCTCCAACAAAAATGTGATAGTGTTCTGCAAAAAGCACAAGCTCAATTAGACCACAAAGAGGCCGCACTCCCCACAATCCCTCGTAAACACACAGCCATCCACAGCTCCCACGATTACCAAAACTCTTTACAATGTTAGCGACTCTCTCGGCTCGCTAGGGTGGGTGAAGAACGACCGAGCAATCATCCAGGGGGTGTAGCGTCAATCAGTAACTTCCGGTCTTTGCACCATATATATATATATACAAGAAATTCGACTGCTAGCTCTTACTTCGAGTCCACCATTTGGATCACCAGTTGTCTGCCGACCCTGCCACAGTGAATGCAAAAGTCAAAACAGCTGCCCATCCGGCAAGGCAAGCACCCGTTTGCTCGCTTCGTCGAAAGATGGTATCTGTGCATCTGTTAACAAGCGAGGTCAGGCCAGCGCAGAAGTGATGTCCTATCAAGCAGCTTGGTGCCGTCGTGGTCCACAAGCAGTGCCACTTAGAAGACAAGGCCAGTGCACCCCCGCACCCCGCGCCTTTAAACGTCGTCACTAGTGGATCTGTACAGCGTCACCGCCAGAGTGTCTCTAAGTATCTCGCCACGAGTGTGACGCTAGCACGAGGCAACGCCAAGACGGACGTGTCTGCTGCTTTGCGGCATCCCTCGTCGAGCTTCATCATGTCGGCTTCTTCGGGCAGGTCTGGGATTCACTAACGACGACGTCGTGCAAGGCATTGTCCTCTAGGTTGTATCACCACAAATGGAATCCATGGTAGTGATTCGGCGCAGTCAGCTGGCGATGAACCATTTTGACTGCCGGATCAATCAACCTCAAACAGCTAAAGGAATGGATCTACAGCATCGAGATTGGGCCACACCCAACGCAAACCACCAATATCTTGGCTACCAACTTCCATCTTGACCCACGCATGACAACCGTAACTGCAAATTATTTTCGTTCCTTAGGTGCAATAAAATATTAACTGAATTCGTTGCAATCCTTTCAACCATACGAAGGAGCATCGATCACCTGATCAGCCATTAACAACCGCTGGAAAAAGAATGCAACAGAGCCTACTTGGATAAACAAACTAATTCAAAAGGAAAAATGGGCCATTGTTTTCAGAAATTACTAAAAGGTGACACAAACTTTCACTGGACCCAATAGGTAAGCCCAACAACCCCAAAATCAATGTGCAACTTGGAAACAATTATGCCAAAAAGAATATTAAAACTTTCCAATCAGCACAGGCCAAAATTTAAAAATGTATTAGAATTTCTGGAAACAAATTTGGGAACCAAGTGGCACACTTGATGTAAAAAATTTACCACTCAATGAAACACGCCTCGATTTCTTCGAGAAAGAATGCTACCACAAGTATACTATGAAAGCCTCTCAAAGGGGCACTGACACCCTAAAACTCTTGTTTTTTTTTTGTTTTTTTTTATTAGGAAGTTTTAGAGAACCACTTTGCATCTCCAATCAGTCGGGCCACGTCCCAACACGACCACCAAACAATGTGCGCAAAATGCATCCTTGCTACTAAAAGAAAAATGAAAGTTCACTTGCAGAAACAGGACGAAGGGGCTGTAAATATGAGCGAAATGAATTGTATTTGCATACTTGAGGATATACGCCTAAAGCTTTTGCCAGGGAAGATCGTAATAAATGAAAATGAACAAAAAACAAAAACGTCCTCAGCCTACATTTGCTAATCAGGTTTATACACCATACCCCCTCAACCAGCCTGTGTTCCTAGCTTCGGTTGGTAGCCGAGAGGGCCAGGATGCCACCCTGAAAATGCAAAGTTCTGGGTGTTCAAATCCTCTTGGGGACATTTTTTTTTCTTTCTTTTCTTTCTTTTGCATTTTTATTTTAATGCACCAGCACATAATTTAATCATCAATTCCCCTCCAGAAGCTTTTTATTTATTCTTTGCATCTCCTTAGCGTTTAAAGGGAAGCTACGGAGCTTCTTGGAAAAAATGAGTTAGAAGTGAATTCTAGTGTATTTTTACCCCGTGAAACCGAATACCCAAACCATTTGCTGCGTAAGTATTGTTAAACGCGAGAAAAACGCAAAAGACTGTCGCTGTCCGTGACGTCATCGACGGCTCTTTTGGCTGCCCAAGGCTAGGGGGGCGGGGCTTCAGCCCTATTTTGAAATTGCTCTTGTGGCTCTCCGGCGCGTCGCATTGAAATATAATTTTGATATCTGTTATTCTAAAGGCCAAATGAACGCAATTCAAGCGTTTTTTCTCAAATGTAGAAGTGCCCCATCTTCCCTTTAAGTGCAAGCATTTTTTTTATTTTTATTTTCCTATCGCTGCTGTTGCTTTCTTGTCGATAAACGCCGAAAAACCCAACAATGCAATTATGTTTATTTTTTTTTATGTACAACTTCTTGTGTTTTGTACACACATATACAATGTTGTAACCCCCTCTTCCAATAACCCGTAAGGTTTGGCAGTTTCTGAAATAAATAAATAAAAGTACTAAAATGTGTTTACATTCTATAAAAAAACAAAAAAAAAAAAACATCTCCAACCCCAAACACTGCTTCATATGTCGACTATACCATGAGGAAGAGTACTGACGATCTGTATCAGCCTGCTAAGGGTAAAAATGTGCCTCTTATTTTAGAAAAAAATAAATAAAAAAATACTGATTCTTAACGAAAAATCGTGCAGCAGCAATGGGAAAATTAAAAATGCTTTAGAAACTGTTCACTGAAGCACTCAGGAAACACAAGAATGCAAAAAAAAAAAAAAAAGACGTCCCCAAGAGGATTTGAATTTGAAACTTTGCACACTGCCAAGTGGCACCTTAGCCTTCCCCACCAGCAACTGAGCCAGGATCACAATGAAAGCTAGGATTTTTGTTTTTCGCTATTTTTTGTTTATTATGAGCTTCCTTGGCAAAATGTTGATGAGTCGCTCCTGATTCATTTTGCTCATATTTCAAGCCTCTTCGTACTGTTTCTGCAAGCAAAATTGCATTTTTATGATTGGGGTGGAGGACACAGAGGAGTGCACATGATCGCGTTACAAAGCTTCCATTTTAGGGTAGCAAGGAACAGTAGGGAAGTACCAGTTAACTGTTCATGTCATCAACTTGTGCAGAAACTTCAAATTCAAATGTTCACTTTTTTTTTATGTAGCAATAACGCAGTTTCCAATTATCAAATTCTGACAGTGATGTCTAAGGATCATTTCCAGTTGCTTGAAACAATGAAACAAAAACATTTTAGGCTGTCAGTGCCTCCTAGAGGGATGCTCAACCAAACATTTCAGTGTCTATAATAAGTGGCGCACTATCTTTCCATGAGTCAGCAGCCGCTGGTGTGAGCACACGCAACGAAATTATCCTATCCCCCATCCGAGCTTATTAAGCGTCAATTGCATGATTCAGCCAACTTTTTATTCCAGATATCCCTCCCATCCTACCTTCCAACAGGGGATTCAAACAATCATTTGGGACTCATTAAATAATTTGACCGACCAGTTTGCCACTACCTAAAACAGCCAAAACCTTTCACTAACCAAAACAAAAATTTAGGAAACTTTGCAAAGCTGAGACAGAAAAACAAATCTTCCACAAAAAGGAGGTGCCAGTGGCAAGCCTGTCCTCAAGTTAGAGATGGCAAAGGCCATTGAGGGTTTATAAAAGAAAATCGGACTAAACACACCACACAAAAAAAAAAAACCCTGGCAGTTCTGAAGAGCGCAGCTCTGAAGAGAGGGCAACACAGCCAGACTTACGAGGCCCTACCGATGGACACCAACATTCCATGCCCGAGCAAACCCAGCCCGCTCAAACTTGGGGCCCATAGGCCACATTACTCACTGCTAGTGTCGAGCTTTGGGGTGTTTCCTGGTGACGTGGCCCAGTTCACCTTCATCTCCTGAAAAAGAGAGAAAAAAAAACAGCGTACAGGCACTAGTCAGTCCCGGGTTGCAAGTCATCGCAGCGAGAAGCAATTAAAGCCCACAATCTGGTGAGCAACCACCACAGTGTCGCACAACCACCACCTTCTCGAGGGAAGCACCCACACACACCCTTAAAAACAAACATGCCTTCATGCTATCACCAGGCTGCACCATCTGGCTATAGCCACACTGAAAGGTATTGAGGCTTCTTGTGCCCATCTTTTCACTCCAGGCATCGGCCAAGAAGACCATTTTCAACATTTGCTTCAGTTAAACTTCACACCACTTTATGCAACGACGATGCACATTTGTATGTGCTTCTGCCACTTTTCGAGGATGTGTTCTTAATTGTGGACGTCTTCTGTAATCTAGTAAGAACTTTGCTGTCTTCTTTTCTTTGGCCTTCCTGCTTGGACTGGACCCTCTGCTGGTCTGCACTATGTAATAAACAAACAATAAAATCAAATCCCAATAGACCCTCTGCAAAAATCCCAAAAGCCTGCACGCGCCGCGTAACGAATAATGGGAGTCCTCGGTACGCCCCTCCTCCCACTACCACGTGACCATGCGGCATACGCGAGCAGGCAAAGGTTACCACGGCAATGACTTTCGAGCAGCCGAGTCGGGTGAGCGACGAACCAACGGCAGCTGACCCTTTCTCATTCCTCTCCTTTGTACCGGCTCTGTCGTCTGCTGCACCAACGCTTTGTCGAACCTGATCGAAACCTGCCACGGTTGCGGTGCAAACTAAATGGATTCGGTGACACTTCAATATGCTAAGGTAAGTTACGATGATTAACGTATTGAAATAAGTTCACCTGTCGTGATGCCTTAACGCTGCCGGTAGCTGCCAGGACGCGCGCGCAGTCGCGGAGGCGCAACAAGAAAGCGCGCTTGCTCTGTACAGAGGGTTCCCGAAATTCCCCGCCGTCGTGCAGCTGTATGTTTTGCAAAGGGTCTATTACATCATTTCCTGAAAATTGTTAATCCTAATAATAAATTTTTAAAAAAGCCACATTATAAGGAGTGAGACAGAGTCTTGCGATTTAAATAATTCATCCAGCAAGGTCTCAAGCACCATCCATTGGCCAGGCTCGAGTTAATTCTAACAAATGCACCTTTTCAAAAGTTTGATGCACTTTCCTTTGTGGTTTATTTCCAACGGGGGCATGTGGCAATAATGATCATTCAAGGCATTAGGAAACAAAGCCAATGCGGGACGTACTGGAGAAAAAGTGTTACGGAACAGGATCGTTAGTAAATAAGATTGAAAACTGCAGCTTAAAAGAGCTATGAACAATTAAAACCGTCAGTGTTTGCAAAAAACTCCAGAACACAAAAAAAAAAAAAAAAAAAGTTTGAGCTCCAACTAATAAATCTAAATAAACAGAAGACTACCTACAAAGTTGAGGCAATGTAGTCCTTATTGTTCGTTGTTCCAAGTGTTTATAGCATTTACAGTGTCAGCATCGTTCACAGAGAATCACGCGAGAGACAGAGGCGACGGTGCAGAGCTCCCACGCACTCAAATCAAGGGGAGGCAAGGAACCAGGCCTCCGTGCCAAATGAACAACTTTTATGTGTCTTTATATACTAATAAATATACAGGGTGTTTCACGAAAGGTGGACAAATTCAATGAAATAATACTTAAAAAACAAGCGAGCTGGTGATGATTCATGGTAATAAAACCCGAGACTCAGGAACACAGAAGGGGACGAACACAACACAACGTCTCAATTGTTCGTCCCCTTCTGTGTTCCTGAGTCTCGGGTTTTATTACCATGACAAATTCAATACTGCAAAAACTATCCATCGCACGAAAAAAAAGCTTATGCCGCTTTGGTCTTAGGCCAGGGGCATTTAGAAAAATTATTAAAGTTTGGGATCATTGAGTTGTTAATTATTTTTGCGTAATTAAATTTTTAGATATTGAGTTTAAGGGCATGGTTTCTATAGAACCTTGCTGAGCATTACCGAAAACACGAAATCAACAAATTGCAGAACGATAAAAGGCATGTGCTGCATTTTACAGCTTTCTGAAAAACAGCACAACTTTGACAAGTTTTAAGTTTCGGTTTGCAATCCTAGTGCCTCTCGGCACCAGTGGCACCGCACCCCATGGAGGAATAGTGCAACCTGCCCTCTGCTGCGTTGCGCGAGGACAGCGAAGCAGATGTTGGTTGCACTATTTCTCCACGAGGCGCAGTACCGTCGGCACCGAGAAGCGCTCCGATTGCAAACCGAAACTTAAAAACCCCTCGAAGTTGCGCGGTTTTTGAGAAGCCGTAAAATACCACGCGTGCCTTCTATCACACTCCAACTGTTTTATTTTCTGTTTTTCGATGATGTTCAGCAAGCTTCCAAATGGGACCATGCCTTTAAACTCAATATTAAAAAAAAAAAAAAAATTAATACCACTGAAATAATTCACAACTTAATAACACCGAACCTTATCATTTTCCTAAATAGGCCCCTGGTCTAGGACCAAACCGACACAAGCCTTTTTTTTGGTGTGATACAGAGTTTTCGCAATACTGAATTTGTCCACCTTTTGTAAAACACCCTGTACATATGGTGTTTTTTTGTTTTTTTCCAGGCTTTACATTTTTGTTTAAAAAAATTCCGTGAAAGCCACACCAATGTGGTCTGTACAGGCGAGTTATACGGCCAGGGGGCACATTATAGGGGGCCAATCATTATGATTTAAGGGCTAATAACTGAAACATGTTAATTAACTTTGTAACTAGTGAAAAAAAAAAGGTTCCTAATTAGGCAAACTGGGAACTGATACCACAGATCGCAGACACGCCAAATTTGTTTGCATTACATGCTGAGATAAGTACGCAGGAGTTCAGCTGCAGAACGCAGATGCAGCATATTCCTGCTTCAGTGTGATATACAGGCAAGAAAGCAATCAGCTACAAACGCGGGTGTCAGGGGAACCGGTAGGAACTCGCATGTCATGGGAACAGATACCGCAGATTGCGGACGCAGCAGATTCGGGCTTCACGGTGCGTTAAACACGGAAAACCGTTACAAACACGCCCATCACAGGAACCAATATCTCGCGCGCAAACTTAAAAAAAAAAAAAAAAAAAAGCGCGTACGAGTTTTGAGTTTGAATGTCACGGGAACGGTAAACGTAGATTGCGGACGCTGCAGATTCACGTGTCACGGTGCGATAAGCACAAGGGACTCCGCAACGCGTTTGTCACACGTACCGATAACGCAGATCGCGCGGTTGATGATTCCGGTCGAACATCGTGCGATCGATACCCGGCGGGAATCGGGATGAAGAGGAGGGGGAATTTTTATGTTATGTATATTCAGGCCGAAAAACGGGATGGGCGATCTTTCGGGAGCGGGCGTTCATGCGAGACTTTCGGGACTTCACGGTATACGCGATTCAATGCGTGCGATATATCAAAATACACGTAAACAATCCGCGACAATGCAAAAAAAAAAAAAAAAAAAAAAACTTGACGATAACGCAACTTTTGACAAAGCTACTTATGCATGTCCCATTTTCGGAGATCAGACAACTACGCGCCGTTGTTAACTGAGCTGTAGCACTGACGGCACGAAGCAACTCGTCTCGGGGAACGGGGAACGAAAATAAACACACTACTTTTGCTGTGTATTGGTGATATTCGTCCTAATACGGTACAATAGAATCATTCACTTTTTCCTCGCGTTCGAAACAACCACCTCGCGCAGTGCTCCCTCGTGCTGCTGGCGCTTTACGGCTCACCAACATGAGACGGCCTGTTTTCATCAAATGAAAGTCGCCTGTTTTGATGTTGATACGACCACATCGGTATGGCGGCTCCATAACATTGGTTCAGAATTATCTAAACGAACACAACACGGTAAATGACTGCTGCCAGTAAAGAAGAGCATTCCAATAAATTTAGGAATTAAAAAACAAAAGCAAACAAAAAATTTTTCCGGTCACTTTTGTTGCAACAGTTGCGCAGAAAGGCGCACAAAGGCGCAATGGACCTTTTCCGAGAAGCGTTCTGCGCACGCGCGAGCGCCCGATGCCAAGCGGTGGAAGTCGGCACGAAAAAATCGAGGAAATTCGGAATGAGGCTGTAAATCGACGAGTAGAACACGTAATTGCAGCATATATATAATTGTGTTACACAAAAAAAGAAAGTGGACGGAAAGAAAAACACGACGTTTGGGTGGACGCTACGGATTTCCTTTAAAGTCGCGCTAGGCCTACCTCGTTGCATTGGGCAAGCCACGCTGCTCAGAGAGCGAAGCAACTGGTAACGTAGCTCCCATTATTGATTGGTAGCGCAGGTCACTTCCTCGATTTTTTAGTTCGCGCAGCCACCGCCTGGTGCCGTCGGTATATGGAAAAGGTCCATTTGCGCAGCGCTTCCACCCCCGCCGTTGCTGTGGTTAGGCTTAGCACGCCAGGGTAAAAGTTATTTCGCTACCGTTCTAGGCTTCCTTTCGCGCCGCCTTTCATAAAAACGAACGCTTGCTTCGGTAGTTCCAAACGCAAAAATTGAGCTTTTAGTATCGTCTACTGCAACTAAACTCGGAGAAGTGTCGAAAGCGCCGCTGTCCCCAGTGACAGCCTCTCGGAGATGGCCGATATTCGCGCAAACTTGCGATGTTTCAGACACCGCAAGTTAGACACGTTCTTTTTTCATGATTTGCCATCCAAATTTTGTTGTAACTTTGTTCATCCATGAAAGTATGATGTCCTAGGAGAATAATGCAAGCGAAATAAAAACTTTTAAAATTTTCAAAACAAATTTGATTTTTCGACTTCTCATTTCATGTCGCCCAGATACATCTAATCAAGGCGATTTTGAAATCACCTAGTTAAATTCAATACTCGTTTTCAAATCTCAAATGCGGCAAATAAATTACGACCAATGATTCACACAGCACTTCGGCTCTCATCTATAATAAACATACACAAAAAAAAAAAAAAAAAAACACGCACGATGGAGC